AAGATGACAGGCTCTTGTTCTTACTTTGGATATTCTTCTAAATCTTACTTTGGATATTCTGACATTTCGTCTCCCTCGAAACTTTTTCATCTTTTGATAGTTGTTCTGGTGTGTTTCCTCACATTTTAGACAAACAACAGGGAAAGATACTGTACATTTGGGTTAGCGTTAAATAACATATGTTGTCAGAGATAACATATGTCAACAGCTTTAAAAAATAAAACATAGCTATGGATGTGAAATTAATTTAAAAACGTTTTTGCATGTAAAATATAGACTCATTTTTTACCTTCTATTAATTGTAGAAATTTCCATTATTTCCAAATCAGGTTCATCACTGACAGATGACTAATGATGTGTCAAAGCTCTTTTGCTTCATTGTGTGGCGTAAATTGTGTGGAAATTGTATTCTATAAAAACCACTTACAGATGTTAATGTTTTCTGTGGTTTAGCCTGGCTAAGCTAACCATCCAACCACTCTGGTGGTTTTGCTTCATGTCTTTGCGGTCATAACAACAACCCTGTATCTATTACGTGGTTTGTTGTCATTTGTGGGCTGCGAACTTTGTATTCACCGAAAGCTATGTAGCCGTAGCATAGCACCATCTTGCTTCTGTGTATTTTATCCCTTTAAAACTTTTAGATTTGATCGAACAAATAGAATTTGATAAATTGAATGAATTTAATATTTTTATTTTATTTGTCGACGGTCTACCAGTATTGCGTTTGCAATCCAGTTATTGGGCAGCCAGGCTGTAGATGTTCTTATGATAGCTTTTCCTCAAAATGTTCACGATAGGTGCTTTTTAAGTATCAATAAGTTCTTCTTCTTTTATAAAATCATTGACTAAACCAGGCATGGGCAAACTAAGGCCCGGGGGCCGGATGCGGCCCATTCAGCTTTTTAATGTGGTCCACTAAACTTTTCCAAATTATATCATTTTTATTGCAATTCCCATGTTTCCCCAATAGATGGTGTAGAAAATGATAAAAGCATTTTAGGCGTTATGCATGACTTTTAGATGTCATTTATCTTAATTCACACGAATATGGACCTGGACTCACAACCCACACAATTTAGACTGATGTAGAATTACACGCCTAGCATTAGCAAACAATAAATAGAAAATGGTCACAAGCTTTCCTGTTGTAATCCATGAACTAACGTATCAACTAAACACAACAAACAAGTATGACGTACACGTTGTTTTTTTTTTTTTAATTCTTTCAAAGGGTCACTAACTGGCATAGAGAAGAATAATATTAATATTCTATTAATATATTCCTCAGCGACTTAAACTATATAAAAAACGAGAGAGTCGCCCAGAGGACATTTGAGCGACTGCCAAGAAAACGTCAGAAATCGTAAAGATCGTTAGATAGATTTTCCGCGCGTTATTTTTTTCAAATAGGAATCCGCACATTTACTTTTGTAACCAATTTTTAATTATAAAATTTAAGCATGGACGTAAAAACGAAATGTCTGTTAATTATTCATAACAATCATTTGATTATTATCTAATCTAGTTACAATTAAAAAATATTAAACTGTTTATCAGTGGCTGCAAGATTTTATTGTTAATTTATTTTATTATTTAGTGGTTTATTGTCAATTAAAAAATATTAAACTGTTTATCATTGGCTGCCAGGTTTTGAAAGGTCATTGTCTAATGCAAAAAAAAACAAAAAAAAACCCCAAAACGAAATGATTCCTTATGGCCTTTGGTAATACATTTTATATGAATGAGTTTAAATTTAGTCATCAGTCTGATGACGCTGGGTGAGGCTGGTACAGGGGGAGGAGAGGAGACACAGTCTGACCTCCGGGCTCCTCTGTTCCCAGGCTCAAGTTCTCCAGGAGAAGGTTGCTGTTCCGGCCCAGTTCTCCCAGCGTGGGAGCTCGGCGTGGGAGCACAAGCGCTGTGGTCAAGCCACTAATGTCTTTATTGCTTCCAGATTGTCCTTAGAAATTTTGGGTTGCCTTTAGATTTGCTGTAAAACAAACAACAAACTACCACCCGTCTGGCTGTTGAATGGGTCTCCAACATACAGATTCCTTAGATAACGACGAGCCCGGTTTTCAGTTGTTTGAAAACTTCAGGTCATCGAGGGTTTTTGTTTTTTTCCTTTGCCGTTGAAATCACGACTTGTCGACTTGCTCAATGGAGCGGCATATTTTAACACGTTGCAACACCATGAAATTAGCACAGAGATCCGACACATAGATTATACAGTATAAACATCACGGTCTGCTTCCCGTCATGCATATTTTCTCCCCTAGGGGCAACTGATGTCTGGTGGTGTCCATGTGTTTTTCATTTTGAGCGCAGTCACAGTTGAACTCATTTGTTACTCTGTGTTGTAAACACTTTGTTTGATGCAAACGTCTGATGTGCCTCTCCATTCACATGAAAAGCATGACTCGGCAAGTGGGGTGAGACTTGCTGTCAGTCTGACGCAGCGTTTGAGTGGGTGGACCTTAGTAACTTAGTCCGCTCGGCTCCTTCTCAATCATATGGTCTGCTAACACAATACAGTGTTCCCTCTCTATATCGCGGTTCTCCTTTCGCTCTGTCAGTACATCGCGGATTTTTTTTTAAAAAATCCGATCTCGCAAAATTTAAATTTGAAATTATAAAATAATTATACAAACGAAAGTTTTAGCTTCGTTTGGGAATTGAGATAAGCGCATTTGCGAACGAATGCTGGTAGCTTTGTTTACCTGGACGAGAACGTACACAGCATACTAGCATACTAGCATATTGGCTAATACAATGCGTACTCGGTGTACTATTGGTTAATTGAGCATGCCCTTCTGTTCCTCACGCTGATTGGCTCATGCATCGTAGCATCTCTCAACATCTCCCTTTGTCTGTCGGCCACTCTCTCGCGTCGCCATTCTACAACTCTACTGTGCATATAATTGTGTGAGAAAGGGTAATATAGTCTAGGAAGGGTTGATAACAGTGTGGGGCACGTTCGTAAAAGGTAAATATATACGTAAATCTTTGCGATTTTTCTCATTTCGCACTTGGAATGCAACTACAGTACTCCGATAGGAGAGGGATCACTAACGTTCGTTTCAATAACGATAACAACTTTGGACGATATATTGTCCCACCGATTATTGGCAATAAACAATACTGTTGTCAGCATTATTTTGAGAACATTAAGTTCATAAGTATTCCTTATGAAATTTCACAAGTTTCCGATGGTACCCGAACGCCCCTCTTATTTTCTATGGTACCTGAACGCCCCTCATAACAAACATGCCACTGAGTGAGGCCCCTAAAAAGAAAAATATATATTATTAGGAGTAACACAACCCAACAACTGTTAGCAGTTGTGGGGTTTTGACGCTGAAGCGAACTACATTTATTCTGTGTGCGCACATTATTTTGCGCCGTTGCGTTTGTATTGACTTTATCGACCAAATGCCTCAGTGAGTGTTGACTGTCGGAACGAAGTCTCTGCATCTTGTGGTGCAGTTTTTTTTTTTTTTTTTTTTTTCATTTTGTTGTGTTGCCTTTTTTTGTCGCCACCACTTAAGAATAAATTCTTGTCCACGTTGCTGCCTTCTGTTTATATTCTAGTGGCCCCGCTTCCCAAAACAAAGAGTGGACGACTGACAAGAGGGTTCACTCCGTCCATTCCAACTATGGAACAAACGCGCTGAAACCGATGGACAGAGTGAACCCTCATGTTATCCAGCCAGTTTGGAGGCAATATATCGAGGCCAGCAGAATTATCGACTTTGATTTCATTTATCGTGCGATTAATTGATTTATTGATTTATTGTCCCAGGCCTAATGATGCAATCTTTCCAACTTGTTAGCCGGTTGCTGTTAGCTGCTTATCAAATACTGCCTACACAATTCATGAATTAACGTTCTCTTTTCATCTATTTCAGGGAGAAATTCAACAACTTTTAATCTCCGATGATGCAGAGGACGCTGATAAGTACTGCGAAAACTACTTACCAGACTGTGACTCTGCTCTGCCCTACAGCAGCCTGATGTTGGACCTCGACAAGGTTAGTACTGTCACAAACCACCGCTTGTTGAAAATATTCTTTGATTTTGACCCGTGTTGACTGCGACATTATCTGATTGGAAAGTGGATTCCTTTAATTTAAGAAACCAACCTGAAATATCGGCTCATGGTACTGTAAATACAAAAGGGTTCTAGTGACCAACTGGGGTTGATGGGTACTTTGTGACCTGCCCTGGTAAAATACGAACTCCAGAACTCCGTTTCGTTTGTCTTCGTTTTATTATTGTTTGACAGTTTTTCTGTGATTTTAGTGAAATCTGAAATATTGATGTTTGGAACAGCAAGTATTTTCTTGCTTCTTTTTTTAATTTGCAATTTAACAAAGATGCTATTATTATTATTCTTTTTTTCTTGTGTAGCATTTATTTAGGTTTATGTCATTGGTATTTTTGATCTGGCATATTATTTTTTGTAAATTTTTTGTATTTTAGCTTTTTGTGCTGTATTTAAGCCAACCCTGACACACATTTACCTTATTATTAGTGTTTTTTTTTTACTTTTTTTAAAATTCATCAAGCGGACCAGATTGAACCCCTTAGCGCACATGAGTCAAACTCAAGGCCCGGGGGCCAAATGTGGCACGCCAAACCATTTTGTGTGGCCCGCGGGAGCTTAAAAAGCATTTTCTTAAGCTAGAGTTTCTTAACCTAAGAAATGAAAAGGTTTTTTTTAAATTACACAGTAATGAACAATATTTGTAGCTTGAATGAATAATAACCAATTGCAGAAACAACTTTTAGTCTGTTATGGAGTAGTTACATCTATACCAGCGGTCCCTGACCTTTCCTGTTCCAAGGACTGGTCAGCCAGTGCCACCCATTACTACAGACCGGTACCAAGGTACTTTTTTTTAGACTCTATTCTGTTTGTATCAGAGTCTAATATTTTAAAATTGCCAAATTGTATTTAAATAAAGTAAGTAAAAATTAAGTACATTTTTTTTCACTGTGTCCCACTGCGGCCCAGTACCAAATGATCTATGGACTGGTACTGGTCCGCGGACCGGGGGTTGGGGATCAATACAATCTGCGGGTCATTTTTGGCCCGCAGGCCGTATTTTTGACACCCCTGCTCTATTCTATATATTTTCCAAATTTGGACTATACAAATTGTCAGTGTTCCTGTTTCAGTCTGTCCTGAGTTGTATTTTTATTCACAGCCATGTTATTGTGTTTGTTCTTCTTCAACCCTCGCTGGTTTGTCCTCATGTCCCTGACTTTAAAAAAAAAAAAAAAAAAAGACCACCCTACCCAATTCTCATGCTATGATGCAAAGTGACCAGCCGTTAATAGAAAAGGACCTCTCCAAAAAGGATAGGAAAGAGAAAAAAAACAAGAAGAAAGGACACAGGGGATCCAAAGGCAAAGGCAAGGGCAAGGGCAAGAAGAAAGGATCCAGGAGGAAGAAACACGAAGAGGAAGTGAAGGAGGATCTCGAGGTGGGCTTCCTCCCGTTGGTCACGTCGTCGTCTGCGTTTCAGTCTGAGGAATCGCTACACCCCGCGAAGCCCACGGAGCTCCCCGAAGTCCAGCAAGACCAGTGGTCTGTCCTCCCTACTGAAATCTATGACAGGACTACCTTCCAGACCCTCAGTGTGGTGCCCACAGAGATGCCTGAATCAATGGTTACTGAGGAGGTAGACACCTGTAGATAAGAACTATCCCCCTGCCTCCCCACTCCCCCACTCCTGATGTTTGCAGTTCTAATAACCACACCCCCTAATACCACATAACAACAGTGAGCACCCAAGGATTAATAAACTTTTCTTCCTCTGTCTCTCCCCAGTCACTTTCCAACGGCGACACTAACCAGCCTAATATTTAATCTTCCACTACATGTTGTGTTTTTTTCCACACAAAAACAATTTAATACATGCATTCATAATTAACTGTATGCATGGTGTACAGCGATTTTTTTGGTGGTCTCAATTGTTTAAAGGTCCAGTGTGTAAAAAAGAAAAATAATGTCAAAATGAACGACTCCTCCACTCACCCCTCTATTTTCATAAAGCCTAAGGCAGTGTGTTTTGTTTCAACGATGGGGTCGCGACACCATGTGAGGTCGCCCGGAATTTAAACGGGGTCATCTAAAATGTCTAGTAATTTTTTAAAAAAAAGTTTTATACTTTTATGAATATAAATGGCGTTTAAAAAAATGCAGCATATAAAAATAGTTGAGCTAGCGCATCTTGTTTGACGGGTGCCATTATGAGACGGGAAAAAAAAGGTTTCTTGATTTTGCTAACTTGCTTAATACTTGGATTGTTTTCATTTCTTTGGCGTATATATTTGGATTTAAATCGACTCATTGTTTGGTCAGTAAGAAATTATTATATTTTAACGTTTTTTTCTATATTTTGCCTAGGGATTATCATTTTTATATTTATATTAGTTTGTATCTAGAGATGACCTCACACTGGACTTTTAAATAAAATATTAAAGATATTAAAAAATCCAACTAATTGAAACCTTTAACATCAAGAAACATTGTTCTCAGAATCTGTTTCTTTTCATATTTTCTGACCATCATTTTTGCTAACATTATAAAAAACAAACAAACAACTGAAATCAAAAAAGAAGATTTTTGATTTTACATGCATTTTACCCTTATTTCTGGCTCATTAATATCCTTTATTGGCTTTCAGCAGCCCCAGCCAGTGAAAACGCCGGAGATTGAAGTGTACAGCGACGACTTTCTATACGATGATCTTTCTTCTTCTACTGTCACTGTTGGTCCTAATATTACAGATTATGAGGTAAATGTCTTTTTGTTTTTTTTTTAATCAGCAGAACAGTTCAATTGTTGTCCACTAAACATGCCATTGAGATATTTCTATTTCACAGATTTTGGAGTACACGGATTACAAGAACGATACAGAGTTAGATTACGAGGGCGAAGAAATATACGATGATGCATTTGGCTTCGCGGAGCGAGAGAGAGCAGAGACGTGGGGTGGAGAGGTAAATCTAAACCTCTGAGCTGGTGCTGGATAGTTCCTTTCAGCTCCTTTTGCACATTTACTAGCAATAATGCTGCCCTACTTGTATGTCCGCCTCAGGCTACCGCAAGAGGGGAGAAAGGCCAGAAGGGAGAGCAAGCTATTGTTGAACCGGTGAGTGGCTGAAGATTCTTAATGGATACTGGATTGATAATCAATTAGCAGATATACTTCTGATACAAAGCCCATTCTGAATGTGCTTGTTTTTAGGGGATGCTGGCAGAAGGACCACCTGGTCCGCAGGGACCACAGGTAAGACAAAAAGTTATCTCAACAAAAAATGTTTCTTCAGTTCCAAATGACCAAATTCCTTTGCAAGACCATTGCCTGTAGTTGTATTCTGCCTAGAGACAGTGATCATATTATGTTGTTTTTTTTAAACCCAATAAAACACGTACTGACACATACTAGTCATTTAATACTATATATTAAAAATTAGATTTTTTAAATAAAAGCAAAAATGTGTCATTATTTTACAAATTTATACTGCAGCTCTAAATCCAGTCTGTGTAAACTAAGGATGGGCAATGATTGTCCAATATTCGAATAATGTTCAATCATAAATGATAAAATAGTTAATGTCAAAAAAACATTTCCTTGTTATGGTGGCGACTTCCGCACGGGGGCGGTATGGCATTGATACGCTGTATGACGGGCAAGTTAGATGCCGCTGTAGAAAAAGAAACAAACAGGTGACACGATGATTACAGGAGCAGTAAAAAAAAAATAGTTCGGTGTGGAAGTACTTCAGTAAAACAAATGGAACCGAGGGGCAGTGTAAACTGTCCAAGGTAACGCTTTCGTATCACAAGTGTACGATAAGCTTGCAAGTAGTGAAGTGCCGTTCGCGAGTGATTCGTTCAGTATGAACAACAACACGCGCTTTGCACGACGGGACTTGCCGTAAACAGTCTTCGCGCCCGTTTTCGTCACGAGTATGTGGACTCGCAGGTTTTATTAAATAAAAATATGGAACAGGCTGTAGCCCTGAACTATCTCTCGGTTTATTCGTTATCACGACGGAAATGGTAAAAATGCACATTCGACGTCTGCGTAGCTAATTATATCCTGTATTGAACAGTACAGTACAGTTTAGGTACATTATGTTGTGTTATTCCAGCAAGTTATTCTTAGTTGTTTTGAATTCTAAGTGATTCAGATGACAATAAAGAAATGAACTATAAACCAGTATTCCCCAAACGCGGGCTGTGGATAAACACCGGTCCATGGGTTAATTGGTACCGGGCCACACAGAAAGAATGCATAACTTACATAATTCCGTTTTATGTTTTTATTTTGAAAAATTACCGGATTCTCTCTGCTGCATTCGTCTATGACACTTGATATACTGTATGTCAAGATGCTTGCAAATGTCTGCTCTGTGCAGTAACACAATACATTATCACTAAATCGTATCATTTTATTTAGTATAGTACTATACAAAATAAAATGTACTAAACTAGTACTAGTATTTATCTGCCACACCTTAAAGGCCGGTTGGTGGAAAAAAAAAGTCATTTAATCGTTTAACATTTAAGAGGTTCGTGGCACAGCTCTAGATTACAGTCAAAGAGATTGTTACATTTTCCTTCAACAGTTTGAATAGTTTATTTATTTTATTTTATTTACATCAACTGTATTTTCAGGAATATTTGGGCAGGAAATGTTAATGGTGTATTTACAGTACACTGAGGATGCAGAACCATCCGTTCACGATAGACAACCTCCAGAAAATGTGAAAACCTACTTATGTCTAATACCTGGAATTTATGTCAGCAAGGCAAATGTCCATATAAAGTTTACTGTGTTTTTTCCAAGTGTTACTTTTTGCTAAAATTTGAGTGACATAATGAAAACTTTAGCGAATTTTGAGAATGAAGTAATAATACGAAATTGTCCTTCACAGGGACTCGATGGTCAAGTAGGACCAACAGGACCTCCAGGACCCACAGGTGATCCTGGTGAAATGGTACGTACATATGTCACATGATCTAAGCCCAGATATGAGTCCTAGAATCCCTAACACTGTCTCATGATGTGTCGTGGTAGGAAAAAAGTGGACCTGTTAAACTTAAGGAAAGGATGCTGACTCAGCGATTGTGGTTTTGAATTCTCAAAAAACACAAAGATGAAAACGTGCTATTTAATTCAATGACATGCGTAAAAAATATTCAGAGAAATGATCTATCTTGGAAGATCACACTCATTGGTTTTATTTAATTCTACTAATGTAATAAATTAATTGACAACTCATCACTAACCCTTATTCCCAAAATACACAAAATCAGGAAAAGACCAGATTTCTATTATTTTTAACTTAAGGACTACAATCAGTTTTGACAAAAATATTGCAAATCAAAATTGAATATTAGTTGTCTGTCTCAGCCTGTTTTCTTATGTCATACTCAGTATTTCCCTGTGGGTTGGAGATCCCAAGCAAAAATAGATGGAAAACCCCATTCCCACCAGGAATATATACTAGAAAAGTCATCTTACACTAAAAAGTATTGCTATTATATTTTTTTTAGTGGGAATACAAGTGTTTAAATGTGTACGGTACTACATAATCATCCTGTAGATGAATCCATTTTGTCCACATCATCCAACACTACAGCGACAGTGACCGTTTGTCCTTCCTTCCCAGGGTCCTCCGGGTCGTCCTGGTCTCGCTGGTGCTGATGGCATTCCAGGTCCCCCGGGAACCCTGCTGATGTTACCAGTGAGTATGAATGCAAGCACAACACACATTATAATCACACTCATTAAGGCAGTGTTTTTTCAACCTTGGGGGTCATCACCTCATGTGACATCGCCTGGAATATAAACAGGGTCCTTTGAAAAGTCTGGGAACTGATTAAAAATTAATGAAAATATTTTTTAATGAATTATACATTAGATTTATTACTATTTTAAAAAATTATAATGAAAACACTACACAGTTTTAAAGGGCTGTATTCTTTCATTTTCCTGAATATAAATAAAGGTCAAATTATATATTAAAATATATCATAAATATAACCCATAAATATAGATAAAAATAAATATAATACAAATGTGTTAAAATATATAAATATATATGCTTATATGTGTGTACATAATATAAGTAATTTGTACACAACAGTATCTGTTATGAAGGTATTCCACATGGTTATTGTGTATGTTTATTTTTGATATTATATAAAATGTGGTGAGTTGAAAGAGAAAATAATACGCAAAAGACAAGCACTGAAATACTTTCACTTTTCAAATCTTCACAACAAACATGATAAAAAAGTAATTCTTTAAATAAAAAAGTCTCTGGGGTTGCCGGGAATTTGTGACGACAATGTAGGGTCACAAGCCAAAGGATGGGAACAAATGCATTAAGGAGACACAAAAAGCCACCACTGACCCAAGGTGGTGTGATTCAATGGCATGACCACAAGATGGAGCTGTGTGACAGAAACCTAACCTAACCTTCCTGGCTGTGTTTACCCTTCAGTTCCAGTACAGAGGTGATTCCCAGAAAGGACCAGTGGTGTCTCCACAGGAGGCACAGGCACAGGCTATACTGCAGCAGGCTCAGGTAGGTACTGGTGTGACGTCATCCATTCATATGTCACTGTTTTCCCTCATACAAAGACAGCCTTTCTTACCTTACCTTAAAAAAAAAACTTTTGCTGCATAAAGGGAACATTTTTTGTGTTGTTGTTTTTTTTCCCTAGTTCTCCATGAAGGGACCTCCAGGTCCACTGGGTCTCACCGGTCGGCCAGGCCCAGCGGTGAGTCACTGCTGTCTTTACCCAAAACTGAACATACACCTCTTACAATTTTAGTCTTAAATTTTAATAATGCAAGCACAGACATTGAACATTTGGAATAAGACACACATCAGTGATATTTGTTTCTTATTATGTCTCTTTATCTGTAGCCTTTCGAGTTCCTTTTTAATGTACCTTATTTTCCGGACCTTAAGCCGCTACTTTTTTCCCACGCTTTGAACCATGCGGCTTATACAAAGATACGGCTTTTCTATGGATTTTTTTTTTTTTTAGCAGGAAGTGCAAAAACAAGACAGACAGGGGAAGTCATTGCAAAGAAGAACACGCTAGTTTGGATATTGGCAGCTTATAGATATAGATAAAACTTCAGGTGTGCTCTATACTCCACACACACACACACACACACACACGCCTTTTGAGTTCCTTTTTAATGTAAATATTTTTTTCACACACCAACAACAACAAAAAAGTATGTGCTGTACACATTTGATATGATCTCGAGGGCCCAATATAAATACACTGCGGGCCAGATTTGGGCCCCGGGCCTTAGTTTGATACGTGTGATTCAAGTTTAAATACCAAAGTTTCTTTCTTTAACATTCTTTTGGATTGCTTCGTTTAGGTGTAGATGTCTTGTTTGTTGACCCTGTCCCTGTCTTTTTATTTCTCCAGGGTGTTCCAGGTCCTACTGGGCTGAAAGGCGACCAAGGGGAGAACGGTCATCCAGTAGGATCATTTCCATTTTAATATGAAGCTCTATTATATATTCTCTGTTTATTTCAGTTTGAATTCCTTTTTAACACCTTTCTTTTTAATCAGGGACCACGTGGGATTCCAGGGCCAAAAGGACTTGATGGGAAAGCAGGAAAAAGGGTGAGGGTGACCGTCATTTAAGAAGCATCCTATTAGAAATAATGTGACTCAAATCAGTACCTGCATTGTTTTGTTTTTTTTCCTGTCTGGCAGGGTCGTGCTGGAGGCGATGGAGGTCGTGGAGCTCCAGGAGAAACTGGTGCCAAGGTAGGCTGGAATGTTTGAAAGCTACAACCCTCGCATTTCCTTTCCAGTAATTAAGCCGGTGATACACACAAAGAAACAGAGGAAGCGGAGCTTGTGAATAGGGATGGGGCCGATCCGATCCAGTATCGGTATAGGCAGCCGATCCCAACGTAATTAGTGGATCGGAACGATCCGAGCCAACCTGCAAAGAATTCCGATCTACGATCCATGTCTGAGCTCCAGTCTCGTTGGGTCTGTTAGATGACTGTAAACTGTGGAATCAGTTTCCTGAACAGAACGTGGCTCTACAAAATTGCGAGGCACGCAGCCAGATAGCAGGCTGCAAAGAAATACGTCCGCTGTGTCTAAATATTTTACTTTAGAAACGACCGAAAACCACACTGCAGAGTTGAAATTTGGAGAGGTGTAACCGTCTCTTCATACAATACCACTAACTTAATGAAACATAAAAAGCGCCTCATCAAAGAGGACGTGAATGCGCCATGGGACAGAAAGACGTAAAGTCACTTCTGTCGTTCCAAAAGCAAGGTAACCTCCCGACAGATGAAGTACGTACTCGTACTCAGCTCAGCGACCTCCACTGTAGCAGACTTTATTCCAGCAGTGACCGTTTGAAGACTCCTGTTGGCTGAGGATAGCAGTGCTGACAGCGAAAATAAAAACAATGAAACGCACGCTCGTCCTGGACGCGCGATACATGGACAGACCACGCCCCTTTTTATTATATATTTATGCTACAATTATTAATGCTCCAATTATTGTTTTCTAACGACTGTTAAAGAACATTATAATTGTTACTGTTGTAAGATGTTTACTTTGCACAAATGTTCAATTTCAAAACAATACAGTTGCATATCAATAATAAAGCAATAGTGTCGGAATAGTATCGGTATCGGCCGATATCCAAATCCAAGTATCGGGATCGGATCGGAAGTGAAAAAATGTGGATCGGTGCATCCCTAGTTGTAATGTAAAACAAAAACAAAGTAGCAGAACTAAGACAGGATCCCGAGCCTTCACCCCAGCCTACATTATTGCACTTGTGTTCTTACATGGAAGTCAGTATTTAAAAAAAAACACTTAGTTGTACGTTTTAATTGTGATTTATATTTTCCATGAAAAATACTGCTGAAAACAACTCATTCTAAGCTAAAAGAGAGGAAAAAAAATTGGTTTCTATTGCATTTTCCAAAACCACTTGATAGCATTTGAGCTACTTGTGAGTCGTGAGTACTCAAATCACTACTGACCTCTGGTGGAAGCTTCTAGACAGTTCAGTTTGGATTTTGTTTGTTTCATATTTTAACATCAATGATGCCGTGACATACCTCGCATTTGTGCTGTTTGTTTTATCCATAATTCCACAAAACAGCTGTATCACATTTTGTGCAGCAAAGTTGCTGACAAATGCAGGTCCATCAGGTCCAACAGCCTCCAATGCTGCATGTGAGCGAACCCCGTAGCTAACGGCTGCAAGAGCTCAGTTAATAAATCAGACTCACCTGATGTCGATCTGACAGAAGAGCTGAGTGTTTATCTTTCAGAGCAGCGTTTTAGCTGCTCCAGCTAAACCTATTACTCCTTCTATAGGAGACATGCTGTACGTCATGGGAGTTTCTACAATAGCAATATTTGAAATTCAGGTTTTCCCCATATTTACACATTACCCTAGTGCATGTGTTTATTTGTTGTCATGTTTCAATTTTTAATGCTTCTCCACAACTTCACAGGGTGACAGGGGTTTTGATGGTCTGCCAGGACTACCAGGAAACAAGGGCCACAGAGTGAGTTAAATCTCAAGTCTATCGCTAATGCTGCAGTGTTGCTTCACAAAAAAAAAAAAAAAAAATCATTAAACAGATGTTTGCATAAAATAAAGTGAACAGTTGTGGTAGATTCTGCAGTTTATGAAAGCGAGTAACTATTTCTGTGCTATTTGTCTATGAGTCACAAATAACACTTGGCTTGGAGCTAATACTTTTTTCATGTAGGGGGACAGGGGAAAGCCAGGTCCCCATGGCCTCCTGGGAGATCCAGGAGAGAAGGTAAGTGCACATTACGTAAAAATAGGGAAACAACAACAAGTCCAGAAAACACATTAAAATAATCTAAATGCAGTGGAACCTCGGTTTTTCGAAAGGTTTCTCTATAATACTGTCGTCGGCCAACTGCTTTCATTGATCCAAATTTTCCACTTCTTCTAATGTCTGAGATATTTGCTTGGTAATCACAGTCACTTCTTTGGCAACTTCAGCTTCTTTTATTGCTTCCTTGTTCTTAACGATGGTACAAATCGACGACTTTGCTAAGCCATACCGTAAAGTTAGATCTGAAACACGAGCGCCATTCTCATGGTTTCGTATAATCTATTTCTTCACTTCTACCATTGTTCTCACTATTTTTCTTTCCACCTTTCCACTTTCACTAGCTTTTTTGGGTCCCACGGTGATTTATGGAATAAGAAAAAGATAAGAAATAGCACAACGGAAGAAATACCGGCAAAATCAGACAACAGTTCTTAGCGTGTATGTCCCGAGTGCGGGGTGACGGAAGACTGACGCCACACTCTCAGTCACTTAGTGATCGCTTGCCGCCCGCGTGATATTGTTGGCTTGTTCTGCAACTGAGTTATGGTACGACAATTTGGGCAGCTTTTGGTAAAAAATTTTGTTCATGAACTGAATTGTTCAAAAAGGGAGCCGTTCGACAATCAGGGTTCCACTGTACAACTAAAAAAATATAGCAGCACGAATCATGACAAATGAAAAAAATAGTGAGACATTCAAGATATTCTGTGAATGTTCTAATGAAGGTGTTAACTATTTACAGGTATGGGAAGGGTGTGTCTGTGAGAGAGAGAGAGAGCGGAGAGAAAGAGAGATGAGAAAGGGGTTAGAGGAGCTGGGATTAAAATGTTCAGAGTGAGTGAGTTGCCTTCGGTATTAACCAAAATAAAATTCTTACGAAGCACCGAGGCATCTGTCTGATCCGTCGCGGGGTCAAAACAAAACAATGTGAAAGGCTTAGAGCTCCCTTCCACATTGACGACATGCCTGCTGGAGCGTGCTTCCGGAGAGTGTTGTTGTTGTGTAGACGCGTGCCGACACGGCCTGGGTGGGCGGGCCTGTCAGTCAGCTGACTCTCAGTGCAGAGCACAGGAAAATTGGTGCGGATTGATCAGTCAGCCCATCGATCAGCAATCCTAATATGTATGTCTATGTATATATATATACACATACGTATGTATATATATACATATATATAATTATATATATACATATGTATATATATATATAATTATATATATATACATATATACATATATATAATTATATATATACATATATGTATGTACATACATACATATATATGTATATATATACACAAAATACATAGAAATTGATAAAATAAGCAAATAGAAATCTTTAAAATAATTAATTAATAATAAATTTCACCAGAAAATCTCCCTGAGAATATTGTAGAGAGACAGAACATTCAAAAAGTAATTTTCTGCCTTTGTTGTATTTGCAATTTGTAAAAAAAAAAAAAAACAAGGTCTGCCTTGAGTAATAGAATAAACCACTTTGATTTCTTCTAAATGAGTGCAGTTTCTATAGAGCAACGGAAATGGAAAAAGTACTTTGAAAAAAAAAAACACTTTGAAAAAAAAAACCCATTTCATTGTGTTTTGTTAATTTTTCCTGTGTATTCTTGTGTAGCATAATCTGTATGAAACATTGATGGGTAGAAAAGTAAAAATGTATCAAATTCTTACACATTTGAACACATGGGCAGAATCACCTGCTGTCATCCAATACGACCAGTAGAAAAACGTAGCTATTTGTCCATTTTTATTTATTCTGCAGTATAAAATGGTTTGCCTTTAAAAGGCCTGCCGATTCAATACATGTGCTAAAGCCTTATTTTCTTATTTCAGGGACCTGAGGGACCATTGGGGCCGAGAGGACAACCAGGTGAACCTGTGAGTACAAGCACACAACACAATAGAACAGATTTTTTTTAATTTTATTTTCAAATATCCCAAGTTACCATGGTACTCTTTTTCCCTCTAACTTGATGCTACACATGAAATATTCTGAAGAAAACCAGGAATTCTGCCCCAGAAAATGACATTTGACCCAAACATCGCTGACAAATGCAAAAGTAGTGTTATAGGTTTAAAAATCATATGTGCATTTAAGTGTAGTGCCTGGTTAAAAAAACAAACAAACAAACAAACAAAAATCAGTTGTCTGCTGTGAAAAGTTAAACTTCTGAAAAGATGGTATGAAGGAATGCAAATGTCAGATTCAAAACAGAAGTTTGCTTTTTGTCTACATCCCCTTATTTAGTTAAAAAAACAAACACACACACACACACACACACCCATACACCCCAAATGAGTCACCCATAGTGGGAAGAGACAATCGTATCGTACATCACAATGTAGAAGTGAGGAGTCAATTTTGACAGAGGGAAGACAGTGAGGAGACAGTCCTAGAAACGCAGTCAGAACTAGATAAGAGAGCCGTGCAGAGCGAGAGATTCAGAGAAATCCTGGCCTGAATAATTATATTTCCATATCAATCACTTCCCAGGAGATCACAGATGCAGCACTGAAACAGGTGGCTTGGCTGGCCTACAAACAGGGAGGCTGACATAAAACACAGCGCACGACACAAGTGCAGGCTAGCGCAATCTGTGCACTTACAGCACTAGCACACACATATACTATAGCAGTGTTTCCCAACTTTTTTTTTTGAACCACAGCACGTATTTCGCATTAGAAAAATCTTGATGCGCATCACCAAACAAATATCCCAAAAATATACCTGATGAAATGTAATGACCTACTTTCATCCATCCATCCATCTTCATCCGCTTATCCGTTACCGGGTTGCGGGGTCAGCAGTCTCTATGACCGCCACCCAAATCACATTGCACTGTACCAATCCCCCTGAACCTTCCTGCGGGTGGTGAGTCCGCGAGGTGGTGAGTCCGCGACTCCCAGAGACATTGCCTCTGGGCCAAAGCGCCTCACCAACTTTCACTTTACTCATAATTTACTTGCTAATGTGGAACCTGAGCCTGTTTAATTGGATACAATGCTTATATCCTCGCAGGAATTGAAAAAAGACACAGTCGAACATCAACTCACTGTTTTAGTTTGAAGATGGCGTTCGAGTTTTCCGAGAACCATGGTACTCTTGGAAAGCTTTTCCCCACACGCCAAACAGTCAAAGAAATTTCAAGGCAAAGATGGCTCAATTGAATTGTCTTGAGCTAACCTGGCTGTAACATTATTTGTATTTGGTCCCCAAGGTGTTTGTCCACGAACGTCCTTGCCCTCCGACAAATATAGTTGGTGACCTCTGTGCTGCTCCCTTCATCTGGGTCACAATGTTTTCTCCAGGTGGCAAAGTCTGTCAAAGGCTGCACGGACTCTTAAGCCATCTGCTGCCACCAAGTGGAAGAACATTTAGTTGTTTTGTTTGTTATTTCTGACAAAATAAAGACATATTACTTGTAACAGATAAAAAAAAAAACTTTTTCAGAATAATTTAGTGACAATTTTTAACAGTATATCTGATGATCTCTCATAGCACAAAGTGGTTAGCAATTAGCACCAGAGCATATCTAAGTCTCCTACTATTGTCATCTCAATTCGTCCAGTGTTAAAATGACCTGATCACTGTTTGCTGTGCTTTATCTCTAGGGTCCACGGGGTCTTGTTGGGTCAAGAGGGCCACCTGGACCACCTGGTGTACCAGTAAGTCTTCAGCCATATATGGTGTGATCGTTAAACGTTTTTTGAGTGAGGTTTATATAAGTGAGCAGTAAATAGGTTTCCTGCCTGAAAAGATGTGAAATGTTTCAGAAGTCAGATGGAGTTGTATTTTTCATTGGTGTTGGCATAAAATAAAACATGGGGGAATCTAGATGTGGCAGAAAATTATGTGAGGGTGGTGCAGAGAGTGTGTGAGACCGTGGTGAGGTCTCGCACAGGACGAATTAAAGGCCTATCTGGTGGGGGTGACGGAGAAAAAAATTGGAGAAGGGAAGTTGGAGATGGATCTGCCAGGCAGTAGGAAAGAAGAAGGATAAAAGAAGATAAAAAAACAAACAAACAAACTGAAATAGTTAGTGTAACAGAAAAGGGAGGGGTGAATGGGTTAGGTAATTCATTGTCTTGTAATTCACTGAGATATCATACAAAATACAGTCTTTGTGCAACAGAAAATTGTTGGATCTACATATAGGTAAGTAATTAAACTATATAT